CTCTCTCTACCCAGAAGCCACAAGGGCTCAAAGAATCAGAAAAGTCTTCCACAAATATCCATCAACATTTAAAACAGAAGACCCTCTGGGACATAAAACAGAGAATCAGCATATTAAAGGAAATTTAAATAATTTCTTGATCAAATATTTCAATTCTCTGTGGGTCAATAATCAGTTTAAAGGAAAAGAAGAAAAAATGTCCCCTTCTAATGTTTTACATGACACATCTCTCTGAAAGAAAAACTTTAAAAGAAATCACATTTATTGTTAGAGTATTATAAAGAAGCCTCTGGTTTATTACAATTGTTTTAAAATTACAGAAACACACTAAAGCTTTAAAAAATGTTTAAGCTTTTAAAAATAAAAATCTGTTATGTTGATCACATTTCAATAAAAATAAACCACTTGTGCATCCAAAAATAAAAATAATAAAATAGAAACCTATTGCTTTCAAAAATTAAAAACACAAGCATTTTTCTAGTTAGTATGTGCAGGTTAACGGAAACAAACCGAAAACATCTGGGTTCTGAGTTGCTGTCTATCAGACAGTCTGGTTCTACAGGATCCTGCTGGACAAGCAGGATTCTACCCCATGATCTGTGCACTGCAGGCATGCTAGCCTTCCAGCGGTCACCACTGAGGACAGCACCCCACATCAGGCAAGCACCAGGCTCAGGAGTCCTACTTACTGCACCCTATTCAAATGGCTCTACGTCTAAACTAAAAAAAAAAAAAAAATGCAGAAAAGGGGTTTTTACACTGATCTGTAGTATAAATGTTTCCGTCCATACACTTCACCCCTTCAGTCCACCTAATAAAATGGAGGCCCTTCCGGAAATGCTCACAGCTGACATTGAAAGGATGAGCCTACTCTATACGGAGTTCCCCAACTCAGCACCGACGCTCCTGTAGTCCTCTACTGCCAATGCCAACGCTAACCAGCTTCAGAGTTAAAGCCTCAAGTCACTATGCCTGGAATTAGCATTAAGCAAAATCTGAATTTATGGTACACTTGGAAGGAAGAAAAAAACACCAAGCTACAGGAGTTCAAGGCCATTTTTCTTTTCCCGAAGTAGAATACCGTTGTTGGGTGAGACCCTATCTGAGAAACCTCACGTTTTTACTACAATGATGAAGCTTTAGCATCAAAGAAAAAGGTTTCCTTTCTTTATTTCTTTTCATTTTGTCTTGAATTTATTTAAAGAATCTCATTCAGGTGTAGAATCTGAAAATCTGAATCCAAAATGCAAGTTGAGGTTGGCCACAGTCCAGGGCCTTCTGTGCTCCAGGGATTAACGAGAGAAACTCCCAGAGCTGACAGCACAGCCTACCCTGGGCCGGTTTTCATTACCGGCCACGTGAGCGGACTTCGGTGCTGAGAGGATTGCTCAGCGGGCCCCACAGCTGGGAGGAGGCACCAGCCCCAGCAGGTGGGGCTGCTCGGGGCCACAAGTGCAGCCTCTCCAAATGGAAGGGCAAGTGGTGTTTCAGTGAACAGCTTCTCGTCCACTATCGAGAGGCCTGATTCTAACTGCAAAGACCTGTCCAGTGTCCACACTTGTCCTGTAACATTACACTCAAACTTCCCAACAAATCATTCACAACTACCACAAGTGAGCCTAAGGAATCATAAGTAATTTTTAAAAGCATATGGTTTGGCTATAAAACAATCTAGGACTTATATACTTCTAACTTATATTGAATATCTGAGGCCCAAAATAAATAATTCAAGGAATTACCTTATTACTCAGAATGTTAATCATTTTTTAATTGTTTTGAGACTGCCCACATCTTAGATAGACAATTCTCAGGTATTTATGTGTTTACAAATTAGTAACTTTCTAATTTAAATATACATTTTTTTCATTGATATACTGAGATTAAATTCTTATCCTTTACTTCTCCCCAAAATTTCTTGTTAACAGTTTTTAATTGTTGGCAATTTTTCTCATTTTTCAGAGCTTACATGGAAAGAAATGTCAAATTTAGAACCTTCTTTAAAAATCATTCACATACATCCTATTTAAAACTATGCCTATGAGAAAATGGAGGAATGATTTTTTTTTCCTTCTGATAATCTTACATTAACTTTTATTAGTAATGGCTTCACTAACAATATTAATAAACCTCATTCCAATATACAATAAGCATATTATATAGTAGGTTGATTTTATCTCACCAATATGATTCTTTAAAATCAGAAAACGTAACTGATTTGGGTTAATTAGATTATACATCTGAATCAGTATTAGAATTCTTTTATTTTACCACTTGTTAATATACACAGAGAAAACCATGGCAGATCTCTAAATGATAAAATCCCCCTGGCAGAGGGAGGCATGGTGAAATCTCTAACCAGGAAAATTCTAATGGTTCTTCCCACTAGCTCTGCAATCACTGGAACCCTGAAGAAAGCTGGTAAGATGGTGGCTCCCTGCAGCCTGGATATGCCTTTACAAAGCGGGCAGCTCTGTCATCAAACAACTCAAAGGGAACATGGTACACCAATCAGGAGGGACAACCTCAACAGAAGTGGTGCCAACCTCTCTCCTACCTCCCTGAGTGAGTGAGTGTAGGCAATTTTGTCTTTAGATCTGTAGGAGAATCCGGAAGCTAACAGATCCCCGAGCTGGCCCAAGTCGCCTTCTCTGGTCCTCTTTTTAAAGCTGAGGAAACTGGAAACTGAGGCTCAACATGACTACGTGACTTGGCCCAGGTCACTCTAGCAGCTTCAAACTAGGGTAACTTGTGACAGGCAGAAGAGGTGTCAAAACAAGTCACCCCAGGTCCAAACCACAGCTGCAAGAGCTCTCCGGTCCCTGGGCACTCGCCCTTTCCACCTGGCTCTGATAGACCATCACAAATAATCAAAGGTGGAATCTAAATGGATAGATTTTGTCAACATTTTCCCTGGCTCATCTCATGAAGATTACCTCTTCCAAACACAGGTTAAGGAGTGACACACCACCAAGGAGGGCCATCCTTATAACATGCAAGCTTCTCACTGAAGGGCAGGAGCATGTCATTCATTCCTTTCTTACCCTGAGAGCAACAGTTCTCAATGGAGGTGCCCAGGGGGCATTTTGAAATCCAGTGGGACAGACCTGGTTATCAGAATTAAGGGATACCATTGAGATTTGGCGGGTTATAGGCCAAGGAGGTTAAGACATCCTTCAATGGATGAGAGTCTCAACTAACAAACAATCTTCCCACACAAAGTTCAAATGTCTCAGACATTCACAAGTGAAAAACATGCCTCTAACTCTCTGAACCCAGAATCTTACTCCATTCTATATTTATGTACAACATGTTTTTGGATAGTTTTAAAACTTGAGTTTTCTAGAAATTCAACTATTGTTCAAGTCTAGAAAAAAATTAGACTTTGCTTTATCTGAAACTTCGTTAAGAATTGCTTGTCGTTTTGTAATATTCCATTACTGACTAGTGTGAGTCACCAGGACTCCTCACGAGAGGTTTGGGCATCTGGCCCATTCACTGCCTCCTTACGTATCTAATCCAACCATTTACATACTGAAATACATGTTATTTTATTACATACTACTATCTTTCCATTATACTTAAGACATTATATTCATGTTTTCATTATAAATTATATTTTCTAAACATTGCATTTTAGGATAAGAGGGCATTACAAAAAAATTATTCTTAAAAAAAGGCACTGGGTCTGAAAGGTTTGAGACTCACCGCTCACACCGAGGACATGCTCAACAAATGTTTGCTGGGAGAAAACACATAGGGGACCTGTTAGGACACAGCATTAACCAGGGCGAAAGACCTCATCTCACAGCAACACCAGGAACTGCCTCACCTTCCCTCTGGGGACAGAGATCCTGGGAATCCCCAGCCCCCAGCTGGAGACTAGGCATAGGGGCCATGCTGTGTTTTAAACACGCCAAGACACTTTGGAGAGTTAAATTAATTACGTCCACCCAGCAGGCGTCACCCAAAGCTGTCCCAGACAAACCAGGACAAGTGGCCACCTTGAAATTGAGGCACGTTTGTGAGCATTGCAAAACCCACCAGAAACCCCTCCTCAATCCCACATTCCCCTGAAAAGCCCACGAAGTCCTTAATGCTGCTTTTGTCCCCAGAGCACACAGGCAGGGCGGGACCCAGCCGACCCTGGAGCAAGGCCTGCCCACTGCTGTCCTTCTGGCTCACTGTGGCTCCCTCTCCTCTCATCTACCATGATGCCCACCACCCTCGCTCCTCACAGATACACAGGGCAGGAGGCGCAGTCCGTCCAGAGAACCGCAACAGGAGAGCCCTCAGTAAATATGCTTCAAGTTCTTGTCAAGTACAAAGACAAATTTTACCACTGCCACAAATATGACTTCTTCGTAGTCAGTTGTGGGAGAGCAAAAAAATGCCAACAGCACTGATGGAAACCGCTGCCCAATGCCTGAGCATTAGCTCGTCTCAGAAGCCCAGGTAGGTGACCGGATGCTGTGGACTAACGGATATATAAACAGGTCAAAGATTTTGAGACATCGTTCCAATCTAAGTAAATTCTTCATATAGTTTCAATTCAAATGGTACATACACTCCTTACTACACATCCCACTAAATATATTTAGGCTCTAAATATATATTTTTTAAATAGGCATAATAAAAACTACAGACATGAATGGAAAGTTTGATATACTCCAGTAAAATTTATAAAGACTACCTACGGAGAAAAATATCTAACGACTCGCCGGACAGAATAGGAAAAAAAAGGAAAGAAACAAATGCACATCTTTAAAGATTCGGTGGGTTAATTCCAAAGAAAAGATGCACCAGTCTGGTTTACGTCAGAAAGAAAAGGTGAGGCTGGCTGAGTCCAAGCCGGTCCAGCAGGGCGTCACGTTTATCTGGGGTCTAACTGAAACGGGAGCCATGAAGCTGCGGAGGCAATGCCTTCATGTGAATAACAGCTCAGGTAACTGCGCTGGGAGCCTGGGTGAGGAGGTGACCTGGGACCCTGGGTCTGTTCTTACCATCGCACTTTGTTGCAAGTCTGCGTCGCGCCGAGAGGGGAGCCTGCCACCATGGGGACTTGGATGGGACTGTGCTGCTTGTTCGTGACCAGATCCAGCTTTTCTTCTAATGATTTACATGTAGCCTCGAGAGCTTGCAGCTTGGCTTCAATGCTATCCAATCGTAAGCATATTGTCTGGTTAATGGAATACAGGAATGACTGGAAGTGAAAAAAAGAAAAACTTCAGAAGGGTATCTTGAACTTCAAGGAGACAATTTCAAGGAGCACCAAATAGCTATTTCCTAATTTCAACTGTATCGGCTCCAACAGGACAAACAGGACAATCCCTGCACTTTACCTCTTTAGTTAGACACCAGAAACATTTCTGGGAACAAGTTCAACCTCTTGTGATGATAACTTCATCATGGCTTTGCTTCTACGTGCAGTTGTGTTCTAGACTAACACTGAAGTCCATGTAACAAAAATGTATGTAGTTTTTAGGATGTTCTTCTATTAATGAGTAAATTTACACATAAAACTAGTCTCCAGCTGAAAACAGATTACACGTACCATCAAAACAGCCTGGAAACCACTGGTGCTGCACGTTCATATTATCCCCACTGCCCTGATGCTGAAAACTGGGTTCACGAGGTTCCCTGCAGTTGTGAAGAGCACGCCTGCCACCTAGCGGTCAACATGAAGAGCAGCCTCACACTCGTATCATTGCTGAGTCAAGTCCCAATTACTAACTCCAGCTAATACAATAATCAGTGACATGCATGATTCCAAACCCAAGAAATGGATCATATACACACGGGAAACCTCTTCACTTTCCACACTTGCCATTCCTGCTGTGAGCTGACAAGAATACAGATGGAAGCATGTCTTCAGGTAAGACTTCCACTGTGCAGCAAACACCCTAAACAGGTAGTACCAGCTGATAGATTCAGGGTGCTGGTTAGAAGCAAGTTCGTAAAGCATCCCCTAGCTCAATTTAGTAGGAAGGCTGGCTTGAGAGTCAACAGCTACAAACCATGAAGAATTTGCTTTTCGTCTTTCCCTCTGCTTGTCTACCCACAGTAAAAGGCTGGCCTCCCTTTGACTGACTGGACGTGCCGTCCAACTGCTGCTGACCTATAGCACTAGCTAGGGCCTACTCTTCTCATGTGAAGCAAAATAGCAAAATTATAGAAACGTCACACATCACATCACGCGGCTGGCATCAAGGCCTAGAAGAAAATGGGTACTCTGAGTGCATTTTCAATAGACTGAGCTGAGGAGCAGCAATGCGGTAAATAAAACCCACACATTGTCCAAACAACTCACTTTGTCTAACTGATTGACAGCAGGACTAAGGGCTGAGACCGGGCCGCTTTCATTTTGTACTTTATACATTTCTATATTGTTTATGTTTACAATGAATGTATCTCTGGTGGTAAAATCATAACTGCGTTTTATTTTAAAATATAGTAATTTGGCATTACTAATACAGCCACTTTCTATCCATTAGTATGAAACAGAAATTTAACTGTGAATATACTTTTAAAACACCTACATATTTAAGCTTCAACTGCTTCTACTAGTTAACAAAACTGTTAAGTTTGGGGGGATATGGATGTTTCTAAACAGATGCCCCATATAAATAGAGGAATTATATGAAAAGTTACTCCAGTTTTCATTTGCACTGCTTTCTTCTCCACATGTGCTGATATTTACCTCCATGACTCTGTAAACACTAAACCAAGTAACCAAGTAAATCCAAAGATCCAAAATCACTGACTGGCTGACTCAGTGGTTTCTGAGACTGCATCCACTAAACTTCAAAATGTAGGTGAACTCAAATGGTAGGTACAGAAGTACTTCATCACTGATGGGAAATCAGCCACACAAATTGTTCTATTTCTTTCTGTCCACAACAGGTCTACGGCATCATCACATTTGGCTGCAATCTCAATCTGAACGACGTTTATTCTTCATACTCTTTAAGGGGGGAAAATGACTGTATGCACAATGTAGGGGGTTGAACAGTGACTCCCCAAAACAATACATCTACTTCCTAATCCCCAGAGCCTGTAAATGTGGACTTATTTGGGAAAGAGTCTTTGTAGATGTAATTAAGTCAAAGATCTCAAGGTGAGATCTTCCTGGATCAAGGTGGCCCTTAAATTCAACAATGTCCTTAGAAGAGAAGAGAAAGGGAAACAGACACAGACACACTGGGAGGAAGCCATGCAAAGATGGAGGCAGAGACTGGAGTGATGCGGCCACAAGCCAAGGGACATCTGGAGTCACCCAAACCTGGGAGGGGCACGAAGGGTCCTTCCCTAGAGCCTGTGGAAGGGGCACAGCCCTGCTGACACCTTGACTTCAGACTTCTGGTCTCCAAAGCTGTGAGAGGATAAATTTCTGTTGTTTTGGGCTCCCCAGTTTTTACAATCTGTGTGGCAGTCCTAGGAAATGAAGATATAAGTAATAAAAAATATTAGTATTTTTACCTTTATAGAGGGGTCCTGGCAATTGATCTCTAGTCGCTGGCGTTTCAAAGCTGGTTCATCTTCATCTGTCACTACATGATTCTCCAGTACAACTGAAAACCAAAGGCAGAAACAAAAGACTTAAACTTTAATATGAAAAGTTTTATAGAACTATTTTAATATTAAGATAGTAACCAGGTCTGACACCTTCAAGTTAAATAAGAAATGGTACAACCTGTTTCATATTTTACCTTGTTATAGTTTTAACTTAAAATTCTCAGAAAATAGGATCTCTCCTTAATCTCAATAAAATGGAGCTACTGGGTAAATTATCTCCCTAATGTGCCACTGGGTTGATTCTAACACCAAAACTACAGGCTTCTCACTCAATGCTCTAGTAAGCTACCCTGTTTGAATTTCAACATAATAAAATCCAATCAATAATTATTTCTTCCCAACTTTAAATTCTTGTCTGATGACTACCTTATTACAAATTCAAAACCACTCTCTGGTTATTACATTTTCTTGAGTGTTGGTCATCAAAACAGTGCCAAACATAACATGCTAAGTTATACAGAAAGCTATTACACAGTGCTGCTGAAATCAATGTCTCCCCCGTCAGCAATTTTCAATTGATCTTCATGGTTTCCTCACAGGTAAGTAACTCAGCCCACATTCAAGCCTGCCACAATATGGTCCTACATGCCTTCCTTTCGTCTAAAATTAGCTATAAAAGCAATATTAAAGACAGCCACAAAAGCAAAGACCAAAACTGTCCACAACCTCATCATCACCGCAAATCAAGTTTCTCGGTCCCTGATTCCTCGTCCTAGACCTGTCAATCATTAAACATTTACATATTAGCAACTATAGACTGAATTTCGTATTCAACGTTTTTATCAAACAGGATACCGTGAGTAGTTTGCCACTTTGCTACAGTTTTTCCTTCTCAGCTCCTTGCCTGAAATTACCAGTGTTGACTGCCGGGTGTATTTCTCCTCACCTCTTTCTTTCTACACGCTCACACATGGACACAAACATATTACATATACACAGGAGGGCCAAGGCCATCTTATCAACAGATCTGTCTGCACCTTTTGTCTTCACTTAGCAGTGTAATGCGGACAGCCCTCCCGGTTAACTGTTTTCACTCCCTTTTTAACAGTAATATCGGTTTGTGAATCTATCCTACTGAAGTGAGTAGCAGTATATGAGAATATATATTATATAAATATATACACAGAACACATCTATTAAATATTGTGCATATGTACATGCACACACAGAAGTGCGCTTACTGAGCACTCTGGGAGAGTGTTTACCCACAGAGAATAAACTATGATGCACGCATACTTTGGCATATCATCCGTCCTCCTTTCAAATGCACCCCATGCTACAGTCGAGCCAAATAAACTCGCTGAGGACACACGATGCCTGCCTTGCTTGGACAGTGCTGTCTGACCACGTCCCAGCTTTTCCCCTCCAACCCTCCCTGCACCCCCAACCATGCAACCACCTCCACTCAAGAAATCTATCCACCTTCCATCCAGGCCCATATGGATGCCGGGACTAACGCCTGCTCACGGCGCTTACCCCCAGAGCTGACAAACCCCCTGCGCCTCACACACAAGGCTGTTCACAGATGTGGACAATGCTCATTTTGCTGGCATTTGATTCCTCTTCTGCTAAGGGATGGTCGGGGCAAGCATAGGAGAAGCCAAGTACACAGGTCTCTGCGGCCCCAGCCCCACCTCAATCAAAGAACCTCCACTTGGAAAAGCTATATATGACGTCTGACAATTAAGTTTGCAAACTCATCCTAGAAAAAGTGCTACATACCTCATTGCTGAATATCACTATGGTCACCTTCGAAGTACTCTCCTTGGAAAACTATGCACTGACACCAGCGCCTAGTTCACCCTTCAAAGCAATTTGGGAGCTCTTTTTCTGGAATGGCCATCAGAGTTGTCATCGTATTACCCTTGATGTCCTGAATGTCATCAAAATGTCTTCCTTTCAATCTTTCCTTTATCTTCAGGTCAAGAAAGGAGTCATTGGGGGCCAGATCAGGTGAGTAGAAAGGGTGTTCCATACAGTTATTTGTTTATTGGTTTAAAAATGCCCCCACAGACAGTGCTGTGTGAGCTGATGCATTGTCGTGATGCAAGAGCCATGAATTGTTGGTAAAAAGTTCAGGTCATCTAACTTTTTCATGCAGCTTTTTCAGCACTTCCAAATAGTAAACTTGGTGAACTGTTTGTCCAGTTGGTACAAATTCATAATGAATAATCCCTCTGATATCCAAAAAGGTTAGCAACATTGTTGCATCAAGTGCACGAACTTAATTGTCAGATCTCGTATGCTAAGGTTCCAAATAAGATCTCAATTTTAAAAAAAGAGTGTCAATGCCGTTAAAACTGTACGTACTAGACGATTCATCTCAAAACTCTCGTTTAAAGGCATTGCATAGTCCTACAGCTCTAATATGAACCTTTCACGGGTCCTAGGAAAGAGCAGTAAACTGATCTCCCAGAGGTGACTGCCCAAAGCTCCCCTGCAGAAACCAGCTAAGGGCCAACAATAACAAGAGGCATCCAGCTTACCTAAGGTATTTGTATCATGTGCTGTGGACCCTGTGTGGCAGGGAACGCCTCAACTACCTCCACAGAAATGAGTGGGAATGAATATTCACTTCATTAAGTAAAAAACGAAACAAAACAAAAACCCATGCCTACGAGTATTTGTGGGTAGCAAAACGCAGATTCTCAGGATGTTAGTCACAACCTATTTACTCCCCCACAAAAAAACTGGTAATTATACCGGGACTGGGAGGACAAGAAAGAGACCCTGGCAATCGTTATTCTAATCCATTTAATTTGCTGAATAGAAAAACAAGTCCAGAGAGGTTAAGTGACTTGTCCAGGGCCACACAGCTGGTTCCTGTAACTACAGAAAAGAAGACTCCATGCCCCTTGGCAGCGTGAAGCACTTCGAGGCCAGAAGCAAAGGGCAATAAAGCAGAGAAGCAGATGTGCGAAAGGAGGGGTGCCCGTGGCACACGACAGAGGCACACGCACCAGGGTTCAACAATAACTTCCCATGGGCTGTGGGGCTGCAAGTTTCTTTCCTTCTTTTTCCTTTGTGGCATTGCTTTTTATAATTTCGCATGCATTACTTTTAGAATTAGACTAAAGAACTCAATGTTCATTTTAAAGCTATCACAATCAATCAGAATGATAGGCCTGGGGAAAGTTACAATCTTACATATGTGCAGACAGGTAAAGTATGTGCAGCCATATAATGAGTACATGTAAAACCAGAACCTAAACATTTTTGTTTTAAATGGAAATTTAAAAAAAAATTTGAAAGGACATACATGCCAACAATAGAAAAGCAGATCTATCGCTAGGACTATGGGAAATTTTTGCTGCTTGTACTTCCTTGACTATACTTTTAAATTTCACAAAGGTCCGATTTTAGAGATGAGGGAAAAAATAATCCTACTCTTAAAACCACTCTGGATGCAAACGTGTATAACGCACCACAGTACTTGCCAGGTGTGTGTACAAGTTTGTTTGGGTCAGAGATTGCAGCCTTTCTGTCTACAAAAGGCCTCAGACAGCCCTTCACACTGTAGGTTTTCATTAAACAGTCAACAAACTGTAGTCCCCAGTTACTTAAGGAACAGAAATGGAACAAAACTGAGAAATGATACTCTAAACCTCCTTTGGACTATAATCTAGAGAGAGAGAGAATTTATTTGGAAAGTTAGCTGTCAGAATTTTAATAGTTCTAAAAATGCTTCAATTTTATGTAACTGGAACATTTTTCTTTTATAACATTGCAGTATGTGCTTTCTAAAGAAATCGTCATTCAGCTACCAAAATATGAACACAGATATCTTTTTAAATGTTAAGTACAGTGATAGTGCTTCTTTTTTAAGTTCAGTGGTATCTGAGGTGTGGTGCTAATGAGGTCAACACTACAAGTTCTAGCTCTGAACTTGGTCAGTTTTTTCAGAGAAAATTGTGGTCGAACAGCTAGCTATACCTGTATGCCCGAACTTTGTTCGGTGATCTGATAAGGCTCTTAATCTTGCCAGTTAACAGGGGATAGTGCTTCTTATATAAACAAATCAGAAGCAAAATAAGGGGAAACTGACTAAAGAATAGCATGCCTACAAGAGTGACTTCATTTCTTTATGACTGCTCCTTTAATTCCAAAATTATTTATAATTACTCTCCCTTTCCATATTACAACTAATTTACAAATGAAGTTTTTTCAATTAACATATCAAATAGATCATACAAGACAGACACCACACTTTCTTATGAGATTTCTGAAAATTCTCTTTTCTGTGGGAAAAATCATTCAACATTTCAATTCTACCATTCCAGGAAAAAAACTGGGCAACCAAAACATTCAGTGTCTTAATTGTGTGAGTTTGTGACTTCAAAATGAACAGAAATATAAAACACATAAAACTTTCTTTTTATAGTTTAAGTACTTTATTTTTTATTTTTCAATTACAGTTGACATTTAATATTAATTACTTTCAGGTGTAAAGCACAGAGATTAGATATGTATATAATTTACAAAGTGATCACCCAATAACTCTAGTCACCACCTAACACCATACATAGTTATTACAATATTGCTGACTATATTCTCTATGCTGTACTCTATATCTCCATGACTATTTTGTAACTGCCAAATTTGTCCTTCTTAATCCCTTCACCCTTTTCACCCAGGCCCCCAAGCACCCTCCCATCTGGCAGCCATCAGTTTGTTCTCTGTATCTATGAGTCTGTTTCTTTTTTGTTTGTTTAGTTTTTCAGATTCCAATATAAATAAAATCATATGGTATTTGTCTTTCTCTGACTTATTTCACTTAGCATAATACCCTCTAGGTCCATCAATGTTGTCGCAAATGGTAAAATTTCACTTTTTATGGCCAATATTCCACCATATATATGTACCACTTCTTCTTTATTTAATCATCTATTGATGGACTCTTAGGTTGCTTCCATATTTTGGCTATTGTAAATAACGCTACAATGAACATAGGGATGCATATATATTGTCAAATTAATGTTTGGGATTTCTTCAGATAAATACCCAGAAGTGGAATTACTGGGTCACATGTAGTTCTATTTTTAATTTTTTGAGGAACCTCCACACTGTTTTCCATAAGTGGCTGCACCAATTTGCAATCCCACTAGCAGAGTGCACAAGGGCTCCCTTTTCTCCACATCCTCACCAACACTTGTTTGTTGATTTACTGATAATAGCCATTCTGATAGGTGTGAGGTGATATCTCATTGTAGTTTTAATTTGCATTTCTCTGATGATTACTGACATTGAATAACTTTTCATGTCTATTGGTCATCTATATGTCCTCTTTGGAGAACGTCTATTCAAGTCCTCTGCCCATTTTTTAATTTTTTTTTTTTTTTTTGGTGTTAGGTTGCATGAGTTCTTTATATATTTTGGATATTAACCCCTTATCAGATATATCACTGGTGAATATCTTCTCCCATTCAGTAGACTGTCATTTTGTTTTACTGATGGTTTCATTTGCTGTGCAAAAACTTTTCAGTTTGATGTCATCCCATTTGTTTATTTTTCCCTTTGTTTCCCTTTCCCGGAGATGATATCCCAAAAAAAACTACTAAGAGTAATATCAAAGAGTTTACTGCCTATGTTTTCTTCTAGTTATTTTATGGTTTCGGGTCTTACATTTAAGACTTTAATCCATTGAGTTTATTCTTGTATATGGTATAAGAAAGTGGTCTAGTTTCATTTTTTTGCATGTATCTGTCCAGTTTTCCCAACACCATTTACTGAAGAGACTGTCTTTACCCCACTGCATATTTTTGCCTCCGTGTCATAGATTAATTGACCATGAAGGCTGGATTTATTTCTGGGCTCTCTATTCTGTTCCATTGCTCTATGTGTCTGTTTTTATGCCAGTACCATGCTGTTTCGATTAGTGTAGCCTCATAGTATAGTTTGATATCAGGTAGCGTGATACCTCCAACTTTGTTCTTCCTTCTCAAGATTGCTATGGCTATTTGGGGTCTTTTGTGGTTCTATATAAATTTTCAGATTATTTGTTCTAGTTCTATGAAAAATGCCATTGGCATTTTGATACGGATTGAGTTGAATCTATAGATTGCTTTGGGTCATATGGACATTTTAACAATGTCAATTTTTTCTATTCATGAGCATCGGATAGCCTTCCATATATTTCTATCTTCTTCAATGTCTCATAATTTTCTGAGTACAGGTCTTTTACCTCCTTGGTTAAATTTATTCCTAGGTATTTTTATTTTATTTTATGCAATTGTAAATGGAAATGTAAAACACATATGAGTAAGGCAAAAAAAAAAAAAAGAGGAGGAAACTTATTAAGAAATCTTTAGATAAAACAAAAGCATAGACAAAGTTTATCCATAGATGGAAGTTCTTGAAATTTAGAGTTTCCTCTGTAGAGGGTTTTCTTAAAACAAATATTTAGTTAAGGTTTCCAAGTAAATGTGTGCCTTTAACATCATTAACAAAAATTATCAGCCTTAACGAAAGTGTAGGAAAAGTTGTTCTCATGCACAGTTGATGGAAGAATAACTTAGCAAAACATTTCTGGGAAACCTGTCAGTGTCTTATTATCAACATTTTAAATATACAAAGCAATTCTACTTCTGGGAACTTACCCTACAAAAATATTTGCCAAGATATACATGTAAGTATCTTTATTGCAGGATGTATATGAAAGAAAAACAGTGCAAACAATGGAAATGCCATCTACAAGGGAGGAGTTTAAAAAATGAAGGGCACCTATAAATCGAATACCATGCAGTTGATCAAAAAAATGCAGTCAGTTCACACATACCAACGTGGTATAAGAGTTCCATCACACATTACAATAGTGAATTTTAAAGGGGGGAAGTTATAAGGAAGAAAGCTGTTACAGGACCCCTGTGGATGGTGGCAGGAAGAGGGAAACAGACTGTAAGTACCTGTGCACAGCGGGGAGGGGAGAGCGGACAAGTTGCTGGAGGGCGACCCACCAGGGGTGTGGGAGCTGATACTGTTTACACGCTCTGTGATTTGAATTTTTCATACAGAGCATGCATCACTTGTTATCTTGCTTTCTTTAAAAGATTAAAGAAAACTTCTGAAGTTTTGTTTTGGAGTTTTAAAGAATAAAGAGAATAAAGTCCACCTACTCTCCCACAGCTCTGTACCTGGGTGATGAGGACTCAGGTCTTCCACTGCGATCTGCACCACGTCCGCCAGATCCTGTTCTGACATCATCCAGAATGAGAGCAGAGGGGCCAGTCAATAAGCAAGAATCAAACTCACCCAGGACTAGGATTCTGTCACCTACAAAACAAACACAAATGCAGAGGAAGGGGGGGTTAATGATGGTGACCTGTGAAATGAAAACTGCTAACCATGTATATTCAAGAGGATGTCATATGTTTGGATTTTTTTTTTAATATAGGGTTCTCCTTGACGCAAACTACCAAGAGGGTTAGTGTTGAGAACTGAGCAACAGCCCCAAACCTGCTCACTGCCTCTGTCCTTGGCCAGTAGGCTAACCCCTCCCTACCTGACAGCCTCTCACTGGATCAATCCATTCCTCACACCACCTCCAAAGCCACCTTCCAAAAATGGCTTGACTCCCCTAGCATAAAGTCTCCAGCGGTCCCCTACTGCCCACAGAACACGTCCTATACGTATCCTCCAGCAGCTCCCTGCGGGGTCTCAGCTCCTGCTACACACACCACACCCCAGAAAACCATCACACTGTTGTCTCCAGCAGGAACAGACCCCCACCTCCCGAATTTTACCCAAATGGACCCTTCTGCACTCCATGTCTACCACTCAAACCCAGCGGCCCTCTAAGCTCCTATTTTGCTTCCCCTTGGCTTCCAGCACAGACCTGAAATACAGCTCTGCCCCACTGCCGTGCCCAGGAGCACTGCCATCCCAGCCACACTGCACCTTCCAGGGCTGGGCCGTGCCCGCCTCTGGTGTGAGCTGTCATTTCCTGAGCCTGACACTGCGTCTGGAACAGAGTCAGTTACTTTCTTCCTGCTCCTGAAACCCTTTGATTAGGCCTAGAGAGACCTTATATTCCAAAACAGAAATAAGGTCATGTCATTCCAAATATGTTCTATCAACACAGGGATCTAAATACAGTACTGAAAATGTCCTGGATGTCCTGGAGAACTCAGGAATCAATGTCACCATATAATTTTTATCATATGATACTTTATGTTATTTCTTTATAAATAAATATTTATAAAATTAGTTTATTAAATAAACTAGTTATCTTTCCCCAACTAGACTACATGCTCCCTGAGGGCAGAAACCAATACTCAACTCTACAGCACAGCTCCTATCATCAGTAAGTGCTCACCGACCCTCATCACAACTCCTGTAGAGCAGCGGGGAGATAAATTAAAAGTTTCACATCATCTATTGTAGTTTTTCAAGTAGGAGTCTCCTGACAGTTCCTTTTAATGGTAAGTTCCAACAGGCATTAAGTTAAATTTGCAGGTTTTTAAATCCTATAAACAACATGGTTCCGCCTCTCCTTTGGCCGGATTTAAATTCTACAGCATACAGGGTACCAGCTCCACGTTTTCTCTGGAACGACAATTTTTAGAAGGAGGAACCAAGAGCCTCTCTTATATCCTTTATAGAGTAAATGCAACATTTTTACATAAACATGATCAAATGTATGATTATTAAAATGGCTAAGGTGTTTTTATTCCCAGTTTATGCACTTCACACAATACCGAATGAGGTGAGAAAACATCAATTGTCCTTAACAAACAAGAGACTGATAACTAACAATCTGGACGGGAAACAAGGACCTCAGAGGAACTATGACTAAACCCTTTAACAGTCCAACCACGGAAAGATGGCAGTAACAAAGATTTTTATTCTCCCCAAATCTCCCCCATAAAAACCTATGGAGCAAGTGGGGTAGTGAAACCAAAATCCAGGTCAACGTCTAAAATGGAATTGAGTGATAAGGTGTTCCTAACAAACCCCAAAATATAAGCAAATGGGGACACACCACTGACAGCTCAAGAGCGTTGTGGTAGAAGCACATATGATGCAGGAAGCAGAGAAAAGCAATGCATCAACTTGGGAACAGCTGAAACCAGGGAGTGAGCACAATCCCACAGTGGACAAATGCAAGATGTTTGCAGTAAAGTCTGGAAGGCCTAGAACATTCTACACCCCATCAACTCTCAAAACGAATCATCCAAAGCTCCCTTTAGGCCAAACACACTGAAAATAAATGATTGGGAACAGAATACAAAATGTACAGGACAGGGGAAATAGTGACAGGGGAAAATAAAACTCTCATTAAAAGGTGGGGGAGAAAAAAATATATATATTAATAAAAATAATAAAAAAAGAAAATCAGAAAGGACCTTACAATCTTTATCTGTACTAATCACTAAAGATGGTAGGTAGAAGGATTAGTAAAAGGTCATTTGTGGAACAGTGCTGTAACTGTTTCTCTAATAAAAAATATATTAAATTAAAAAAAAAGTGGGGGAGAAAAACAGAGCCAGGAGAGTTCAGAAAATGAGCTGCTCCTTTTTTTGAAAACGTCCTAAAAACCACAGAAAATAGAGCTCTAGAACATTGAAATTAGAAAAAAAAAACTATTCTAAATCAAACCTCCTTTCTAAATATTCAGGAAAATTAATTCCACATAAAAATAAATAAAATACTGAGGTCCAATTCATACAAAGATAATATATTTTAAAAGAGAATAAGGAGAAAGTTAACATCGCTACAGACAGTGAAAGCATGCTAGAAAGACATGTCCCCTAAAAAGATGAAAATGCTATCCTAATATTTCACAACAGGCTAAAATACATGAAGGAAATGATGCAAGAGATCATGAACCATCATTAGAAAAGCTCAAAAACGAAGTGACAGAACTAAGATTAGAAATATAAGAAAATTAATTTAGGAAATGAAGACTAAACTAGAAGGAATCAAAGAGCAAATAAACAATAAATTATGCCTTAAGAAAAATAACATTTTTAAGACTAAAAAAGAAATAAAAAGAATTTAAAGAAAAGTAACGTACTGACAGGCAAAGAAGACCCAACACATGTGTAACAGGGGACTCTGAAGAAAACCAAAGCACATTCACTCTGTGGTCCTCTGCACTGAGAGTACCGGGAAGTAGGGGAAAGAGACGCTCTACTGTGCTTTCGGTGGGAGTATAACCCTGAAAAGCAACAGGCGATATAGCTATCAAAATGCTACTGGCCACAGCCCTGACCTCACCACTCCCTATTCAAGAATCCTTTCAGCACACGGATTCACATATTTGTGCAAAGATCTATGTACCAAAAACACAAAACAACTAAGGCATTGCTTTTAGCAGCGAAAGAATGGATACAACCTAAATGTACAATAGGAAGTTATTTAAAACAAAACAAAGTATGGCACAGCCAAACAATGGAATTCCAAACAACTATAAAAAAAGGAGGCAGATCTCTCTAAGGACAACTCCCAAGATGATGTATTATATGAATATAAATGGGGCAGAATATGTATAACATGTTTTAAGAAAAGAAATACACTACATATGCACAGAATATCCCTGAGACATAAGGGGTGAAAAGGGAATTATTTTTCACCTTTCATCTTTTTATTATATTTTGATTGTATAATATTGCAAATATTTATAATATTTGCATTTTTATCATGCTCATTTATCACCTTTTCAAAAAAAACATACTTTTTAAAATGGTCAGACAACTAAATATTTACGCATAAACTATGGGGGAAATTCTCAATTCCAACCTCAGTTACATCCAGTAATAGTCTCTGAACCTGGTGTCTGTGCGAAACACTGGGAGTTTCTTCCACCTTCATCCTCAGCAACTGCTCCAGGATTCAGAGGCAGGCAGAACCCACATGAACTGATTCAGGAGAACCTGTCAGGATAAGGAAATAAGGCGTCGTGCTAAATCTGTGTCCTCTGAAGATGACCTCTAAGTACAGATTACCTGGTGGTCAGTTTGAAGATCAAAGCTACTCATGCCATAAACTCGGTCTTCTTTTTCCAAATTAAGAACCAAAGCAAAGGTTATTACAGGGATACACTGGGCTTCTTAATGAAGGCGGTAGTCCTCAGTTAGATAATACCACCCAACCAATCTTTGACGTGATAGATTTAAAACATTTTAGGGTCAGGCTGCTTTCAGAATCTAATTTTAAAAAAAAAATGATGGACCCTTTCCCAGGAAAAGAAAGCAGACAAAATTCTGCCAAGTTTCACAGGGTTCAGCAACACCAGTTTAACAGACCTAATTTACAGGGGAACGCGGCCACCAGAGGAAGGCTCCCTGCCTCTCCTGCAGCACACTGTGGCTACCTGGCCAAGTTCCAGCCAATGGCACATGAGCTCAGACGTGGTGCACGGCAGCTCCAGGACACCTCAAGGAACGGGAGGGTAGAACAGCAGGGCAAAGAACAGAAGGAAGTAGTAGCCTGGGGCCCTCCCATATATGGAGCCATCACATGTCCCTGGACTGCCTGCCCCAGACTTCCTCATAAGAGAAATACCAACCACTTTAAAAAAACGTATTTTGGAATCTGTCACATGCAGCCAAGCTTAACCTAAGCGATACCCTCTGAAGCCCATTCAGATGGCCCTGAATTCAGCTTTCAGGTTAAATACCTACCTCTCATAAAGGGCTAGTGGAAAGTTTTCGAGGGCCCAATTAAGCTTTTTCCTGGTTTCTAAAAGCTCTGTGAGTGGCTTAAAAAAAAATACTCCAAGCTCACCATAAAATCCTGAATCCTAACCTCTTCCAAATGAGGACACCATACATTATCCAAGTTGTTTATTCAAAATGATTCTGTTGCCAAGATAAAGAATCATTTAAAATTCTGCTAACAGTGAAAAGTCTGAATAGAAAAAACTAGGGCAACAAGCCCAAGAAAACTGGAACTGAGTGATACATGCAGTTGCCATTTTGGCAAATTAAATTTGCCATTTCTCAGAAGTCCTGGAGATAGTCCAGTCTTAATATAATAAAGCAACTGGACTGAGATTAAGGCGCAATAATGTCTCTAATGGCAATGACTAGTTAGAGCCCTAGCAAGCTTGTCAAGAGACCATCTTTCATGGGGCACATGAAATAGAGGCCACCAATCAAATCAGCAACCCAAGTGCTCCATCTTAGGGGAACACATGGTAAATGAGGGCACACCCTACTGTAAAACACTGCAGACATTAATGTGAGATTGGTTTAATTACATGAACTACAATGGAAAGAGCTCCAGAATGTAATATTATACTAACAGAAAGGAATATAACAGGAAAATTGCAGAACAGTATGTATATAATCCCTACTCTGTTTTCTAAAAGTTGCATGCACATGTAGTCACGTGTGTGTGTGAGAATGCACACCAAATGAGCTGGAATGATACATACTTACCGTATTCTGCCGTGTATAATGGGCACTTTTTTGCCCAAATTTGTGAAGGAAAAATAAGGATGCCACATTATACATGGGTAGTGTTAATTCTGTATCTACATAAATGTTTTTAATTATTTTATTTATGCTTATGAGTTAAAAGTGTAACTCTAGAAATCTATAACAATATCTGTATGCAAAATAATACCCTGGAATACAATAATTGGTTTTGTTGAACTTACAAAGAACTTGCAATGACAGAGTTCTTGGCCTTCTATGATGTGTAAATATAAATTTGTTACCGGTACATAAAATTTCCTGTACCTTGCATCTGTTCTTGTGTTTTGTAATTATTTGTTACATAGTATTTCTTATACCATAAAAACTTAAAAAATAAATACTAAAATTCCTTCATAATACAAGAAACAAGTACCTAAATGTAAACAAATAGAAATTTGAATTAAAAATTAAAATGATTTTTTTCCCCTGAAAGTTTGGGCCAAAACATGGGTGCACATTATACATGGGAGCACATTATACATGGCAAAATACGGTAACTTAAGGTTACCCAGGAGGGAGAGTATACAGACAATACAAGCTGACCTTCATCCTTGATCTTTCTGGATTATTGAGTTTTCTATAAGCCCACATTATTTATCAACTGTGAAACTGTTTTTCTAAAACAAAGTAATAAGTATACAGCCTACAAGGTGTGTGCATCCACACAACCGTGACCAGTTGTACAGGTGTGCCTGAGGTTGCGACCACCACGCAGCCCTACCCTGCTCTGTGAACGATCCCATTCTCTTGAACCATTGTGTCATACTTGCGCCTCTCACCTTCAAATCTCAGCTCCTCCTTCCCTCGTGAGCTGGGGGCCTTGCTTTCTCTTCCTCATCAGTTCCCTTGAACGTGGCTTCCCTCCTGTGGCTGCTATGGGCACCACCTGGCCTTGCTCCTGTCCACAGGCACGCCCTCCGCTCCTCACAGATAGGGCGCAGCACTTTACCTGTCTCCTGGGTCCATCCCAATACACATCAATGCTGCTATTTCCCCACTTCCCCCACCCCATCTCCACTTCTCTGCTTCCTTCAGAGCAGAATTTCCCAGACTTGCCTGTATATGCGGTCGGACAATTAAGTTCGCGAACTCATCCTAAAAAAGTGCTTGCTACATACCTCATCACTGACTATCACTACAGTCACCTTCAAAGTACTCCCCTTGGGAAGCTATGCACCGAAGCCAGCGCCTAGTCCACCCTTCAAAGCAATTTGGGAACTCTTTTTCTGGAATGGCCATCAGAGCCATTGTCATATTACCCTTGATGTCCTGAGTATCATCAAAATGTTTTCCTTTCAATCTTTCCTTTATCTTCGGGTAAAGAAAGGAGTCATTGGGGTCCAGATCAGGTGAGTAGGGAGGGTGTTCCAATACAGTTGTTTACTGGCTAAAAACTCCCCCATAGACAGTGCCATGTGAGCTGGTGCATTGTCGTAATGCAAGAGCCACGAACTGTTAGCAAAAAGTTCAGGTCATCTAGGGCCGGCCGAGTGGCGCCATGGTTAATAGCTGGCTTGGGACGCCAGAGGGCCCCGGTTCGGATCCCACATATGAGGGCCAGTGACACTGCCCTCTACAGCTAAGATGCTGAACAACAGCTCAACCTGGAGCTGGGCTGCCGTGGGTTGCCAGTGACGGCGTAGGCTGCAGCCCCTGTGGCAGTGGGTTGCCATGGGCTACCGTGTGTAGCCAGCAGCCAGTGTGAGCAGCCAGCAGCCACAGTGAGCGGCCATCCAGAAGCTGGCGACTGATCTGCCTCGCCCGGGAAGAGTGCAATGATGGTGTCAACTTGGGCCAGTGAAGCAACGTCCTCCACGACTAAACTGAAGAACAAAATACGACAGCAACTTGTCTGTTCCCCTTCCCCCAATTCCCCAGCACTGTTCCCATCCCCCCAATTCCCCAATACAAATCTTTTTAAAAAAATAAATAAATAAATAAATAAATAAATAAATAAATAAAAAGTTCAGGTCGTCTAACTTTTTCATGCAGCCTTTTCAGCACTTCCAGATAGTAAACTTGGTTAACTATTTGTCCAGTTGGTACAAATTCATAATGAATAATCCCTCTGATATCAAAAAAGGTTAGCAACATCATTGCAACAAGCTGGCGAACTTAACTGTCACACCTCATGTGCTGTCTCCATTTTCTCCGCTTATGTTCTAGAGCCAGACCAGGATCTGGCTTCCCCACCCACCAAACTGCCCCCATCCAGTTCTCCCTGCACACCTGCCTTGCCCACCAAAGTACCTGCTCAGGGTTCACTCCCATCTTCCACAGCCGGCTTCCCTCCCTCCCTCACCTTCCTGGCCTGGCTCTGTTCTCCTGGCCTTGTCCTGCACAGATTCTCTGTAGGTTCATATCATCTCCCTGACATGGAGCGCCCAGGGTTCTATGCCGGGCCTCTTGTCAATCATCCTGAAATACCATCCACGTGCTGATGGTGAACAGATTCACCCTTCAACTCAGCCCTCGCACAAGAACTCCAGATCCACGGAGCCAACAGCTTGCTGGACAGCTCCCCTAGGTGTCTAGTCTCAATGGCAACATGCCGAAATGAACCCAATACCCACCCCACAACCAACGTACTCTTCCCAGACTTTCCATCTCAATTTATGGCAACAGCCAGTTGTTCAGTCCTTGGTTTTTCTCTCATGTCCACCTGTAGACAAATACTCACATGATACACATTCTTTGCACATCTAGAGTTGTGCATCGATTTCCACAGGGGCCCCCCTGCTCTGCCTTTATCCCATAATTATTCCAGTACTTGGTTAAAACGCTACCCGGGTCATATTATAACTCATATCAGGCTGTTAAGAGCCCACTGAAGGCTGCCTGCTCATTCAAGGTGGCTTACCCAGTTCTCTGAAGCCAGCTGCGCACCAGCCAACACTTCTCAGTGCCCCTCAGGTTCTCCTCCCTCACCCCATCCAAGGAGGCCTCCCCAGCGCAACAGGCACACAACCAGCTCAGGGCCCTTACACGCTGACACCCACTTGCCCCTCTGCCACCAACTGCCTTTTCCCTGTGATGCTGAATTACACCCACCTCCCTGCTCCCCTCCCCTGCTTTATCGAAAAGCACTTACCATCTAACTTAACGACATGTGCTAAATGTTCATTTTGTTTAGATCTGTGTCCCCTACTAGAAGATCAGCTCCATCAGGGCAGGAATTTTCGTCATGTTGCTCACTGCCTAGCACAGGGTTGGCACACACGGCCCCTCAATGAACGTATGTGTGATGAATCTAGTGGAAGAACCCATTGTATTTACAGAACTAAGAAGGTCAGCATTTCTCCTTAAAAAACATGGATTAGGGTCTTCAAAGTTCTCTGTGTCTATGTTTTGATTTTAATAAGAACTACGCCATAATGAAGTCAACAACCTACTTAGTTTATGACCTTGAACTTCATGGGAATGACACTTTCGGTTAACAGTGAAAACACAAC